GCCGCCAGGCTGCCTCTGTGGGCGCCGCCCGTGGCCGGGAGGGGCGGCGCCTGGGGCTTCGGACGCCCTCTGGGCGGGCCAGGGCCCCGGTGGCTCCCAGACAGCCCCTTCCCGGGCCTGCTGTGCCGTCCATGAAGCCTGCGCCCAGCAGCCTCGCAGCGGCATGGACCGGAGCGTGATGTTCTGCCCGCGCGGCGCTGCCCTTAGACCCGGCCTGGTGCCGTTTGCGTGTCTGGCGGTGCTGCCAGCCCCGCCCGGCCCTCGGTGCTGCTCTGCACGCGGCCACCTCTCAGCTGTAATCAGCCGCAGCGGCTCCCCGCTGGCCCTTCTGGCCCTTTGGTGCCGCCTGGGGCAGGCGGCTTTCCCTGTCCTGCCTGTGGGGCCGGCCGGCAGCGCGAGGGCCCCGACCCCCCCAGGCGGCCGACCGCAGCCTGCAGTGCCCCAGCTTGAGTCCTGCCAGGCAGGGGAAGCGCCTGCCTGGTGACCCCAGTGCCCGCCTGCCGCTCAGCCCCACGGACGGACGGCGGGACAGCGACCTGGGGCGGCTCGTCTCCGGCCGGCCACGGGGCTCGGCGCGTCCTGAGTGAGTCTGGGGGAAGGGACGAGTCCGCCAGGCCTCTCGGCAGTGGGCCCCGGCGGCGGCCGCGGGAACTTTCGCTCCTGCGTCGCCCCTACGGGAGCGCGCGAGGCGGGCGGGCGGCGCCGAGCCGCTCCCAGGTGGGACCAGCAGCCGGGGACCGCGGCTCCCGCAGCCCAGCCCGGAGGCAGGAGGAAGGGGAGGAGGACGCAGGCCGGGATCGCGCCCGTCACGACTCACGAAGGAGGGTGGGAAAGAGGGAGGGACTGAGGACAGAAAAGGGAGCGGAATCGGGGATCTCCGGGAATAAAGGAGCGAGGAAGGGGCGAGGAGAGGTGGGGAGGTAATGAGAGTGGAGCGGAATGCAGGGGTGCAGGGGAGGGTGACGGGGTGCAGGAGGAGAGGGCAATGGGCTGCGGGGGTAAAGGCGCGGTGACGCGGGAGGAAGAGGGGATGGAGGGGGGATGGGGTGAAGGGGAAAGAAACTGGGGTGAAGAGGCGAGAGAAGGGGTGAAGTGAGGGATGGAGGTAAAGAAGAGAGGGATGAAGATG